CTGCAGACCTGCAGGAAAAGCACTTGCTTCCTGATGATGTTGTCACCTGCAGGGGGAAGACAACAGTGTTACAGGGGAAAGGAGGGTAGCAAGCTTGGGCAGTGATGAAAGGCCTCTGTGGCCCCTGGGTCTGCACACACCCTCTGAAAGAGGCAGGACAAGGATCATTATTACCCAGGCAACTCACGTTCCACAGGGGATATACCGAGACCCACTGTCCCCGAGCAGCTAAGCAGCAGGAGTAGCCTGGTTCCTCATCCCTGCCTCACAGTCCTCCTGTCCAAACAGGAAAGCACTTCTTCACTCTGACTCCCTCTTCCCAAGACGGTAGAAGAGAGAGCATGGGGCACCCCGCCCAGGACAGAGGGCAATGCTCACCGCAAGCAAAGCCTTCTTAAATACAGAACCACAAATTCGGAGGAGAAAAGCAAGGGCAAGCACAAGAATCACCTCAGTCCCTAGCTGACACCTTCTGAGGGTTCTCTTGCTCAGCAACAGTGAGAACAACAATAGTCACAGAAGCCTAACAACTGTGTGCCAGGCCCACAAGGGTCTTCTTAGCTAGAACCTTTACCTTGCCCTGGCTGCCTCACTCCTGCTCATCCCCTGGCTGCAGCTTAGATGTTTCCTCCAAGCAATGGACCCAGGCCCAAGCTGCTCCTACTCTGCCCATAAAGTCCCTGGTAGGATGCCAGGCCCCTTCTCCAAGCACCTGAGGGCCTACATGGTACCCAGCGGCCCTACACAGTCTCCAGCGGCCCATGCTATGAACAAGTGGACAGGCAAGGACCACCTCAGCCATCCTAGGCAATGAAGTCCTAGCCCAGATCCAATCTGGCTCAGCTGGGAGTCTTAAACCAGAAACAGCGCATAGGAGGCACAGGCTGTGGGCAGATGCCAGGAGGTTGTCACACTAGTTCCTAAATGGCAGCTTGTCATTATCAGGCTCATTCCTCTATCAAAGAGCTCCCCAAATTATGCATGATTGTTGGGGGTGAGAGTGGGTGTGGGGTAGGAATCTTCCCAGAAACAGAAGCAGGAAAAAAAAGACAATGGGAATAATTGGAGAAGTAATGAGGAACTCCCAGGAATACTGGCAGCATTAGCAACCCAGGCCTGGCTCAGTCTCTCAGCCTCGTGGTGTGAACTCTGACATCCTGGCTTTTGCAGGCCATGATTCCCAGCTACCACGCGGGACTTCACAGGTAACCCCTGGGCAATAGCCCTGCGCAGGCTGGGTCACTGGGCCTCTGGTCTCGAATGCTGGGCAGGAAAGGTTTGTGCTCTCACTGAACAGGAGGGGAAACAAGCCCAGATAGGGGTGGGTGGGGGAGAATCTCCATAATCTACACTGCACTGAGGAGTGAGGAGGCTCCAACACGGGCCCTGACACTTAAGAAATTCCACACAGGCTTTTTGTTACTCACTTTCACCCACTGGAGGCCCAGCAACTTCATTTATTAGCATGGAGAGCAGGCTCTGGGTCGTTTCCAAGGAGCCCTCTAGTAAGAGTAAGAGCCTCTCCACTCCCAGGTCTACCTGCCTCCCAGGAGCCAAAAGCTATGAGAAGATTCTGAACATTCCTGAAGAGCCTGTCCCTTGCTGAAGCCTGAGCAATCCAAGAGGGTGCCTGGAGACCTGCCCAGAGAAGGACACTGGCACCCCACCCTGATCCGTGATAGGACCCACCTCGAAACAGTAGTCCTGGCCCAGGATGCTACTGTGCACCGGCTTGATGACCACCTCCTCCTCCATGCTGAGGTCCAGCGCCTCCACTGCACTGCTGGGGCTGAGCAGGGACTCGTGGGAGCGAGACTCCTTCAGCCTTGGCATCAGATGGGACCTGGGGAGGTGGGCAATACAAGTGTCAGATGGGCCTGCAGGGCCACAGCCAAGCTGGCTGCCAACTCCCCACCCACTCACCTGCTTCTGGCCCTGCCCCTACTTCCCTTCTGAGGCAGTCACTCTTCCTCCCACCCCCATTCTCCTTTGTTTTCATGCAGGTGTGGGGAGAGGGGTGTCACAGAGACCCACCAGTCCCGTTCTCCACTGTGGGGGTCTGGGCAAGGAGCTCAGACTCTCAGAGAGTAAGAAACTGAAGATTCTATGACTACTTGGGTTTCAAGTGAGCTTTTGAGTCTGCAGGGCAGGGTCTGGCCTGGCCCTGAGATCCCCAGGAAAGAGGTGCCAAGGCCCAGACAGCTTTCTAGGGTTCTGGGGTCTTCCCCACTCCCCTGGTCCCTGTCCAAGACCAAAGCAGCCTCCTTGTCCCAACATTCATTCAGAATGCCACTGCCAGCAGAGCCTTTTCCATACACTGTGCCACTCCACCAGCCCCAACAAGGCAGGAGACCCGGAATTTCCACTGCTCCATTTTATAGATGAAGAGCCAGATACCTTGGCATACACTTATAATCCTAGCTACTATGCAGGAGGATGAGGCAAGAAATTCTCGAGTTCAAGGCCAGGCTGGGCAACTTAGCAAAACGCTGTCTTAAAATAAAAAGGGCTATGAATGTAGCTCAGTGGTAGAGTGCTTGCCTAGCATGCATGAGGCCCTGGGTTCAATCTCCCCAGTACTGAGGGGGAATGGAGCAGATGAGGGCAACGTGACTCCGTGGGGAAGGGATGCTGAGTCCATACCAGGACTTAGGCCCAGATCAGGTCAATGGGCATAACAGGCCTTGACACAAGGCACAGGCTCCTAGACTGACTGACAGATCTGGCTTTGGACCTGAGCCCACTATTCACCTACTATGTGGTCCTAGGCATGTCACCCCCCCAACCCCAGCCCTGGCCTTTGTACCTCAGTTTTCTCAGTGTACCATGTGGAAACATACCAAGGGAGTACCTGCTCTGGTGCTTGGAAATAAGCATCTCAGAAAGGTCAAGAGCCCCTTCCTGTGGCACAGGACAGTATCTACCCAACCGGCACCTCCTCCCACAGCTAGGGCAGAGGAAAAGCCTGAGGCCTGGCCGGGCCCAGAAAAACGATTCCTGACGTGGAAGCTAGGCAGGCCTTGCCCGCACCTGTGTCTGTGACTCGAACCCCTGGAAAAGTCTCCCTTCCTGGGCTTAACCCACAGGCCGTCCCCCAACACCCTCTGACCTCTGGCTCCTGGCTCCAATGCTCCAAAGGCTCAGCCCATCATTCTCTCCCTACCTTAGTGAGGCGGGGGTTTGGGCCCTGACTTGGAGAGAGTCAGAGCCTGGCAGAGTCACTTGACACTTTCGTTCAGGACACACATTCTGCACACCCACTTCCATGATCACCATGGGCTGAGGTCCATGATATATGGGCTCAGGATTCCGAGAAGGGCTCGAAATCTCCAGGCTCATAGAGGACACCTTCCCATCCCCAAATTCCACATCTCCATGGCAACAGCTCTGCATGCACATGAACCTTCTTCCAACACCAAGTCTAGGCATTGTAAGGCATGAGAGCTGCATGCAGGACCCCAGCCCTTGGACACCCCACAAGGCCCACCCCCAGATACCCAGTCAGCCTTCTCCCACTGCCTCTCCCTGCCCAGCATGAAGCTGGCCTCTGAAAGCCCTGAGGAAATGGACAGGACCAGAGGAAAGCTGTGAAGCCGCTGAAGTCAGCTTGGAACCCACCCAAACACTCCTTGGGCTCCCTGTGGAGCTCTTGCCCGTGGCCCAAGTCCACCAGCACACACACCTGGCTCTTCCAGGACCCTCTCTGGGATGCCCCAGCTCACAAAGGCACACAGCGACCTACCTACCATGCCATGCCATTCTAGGTGTTCAGACGTGCCTTTACCCTTGATAACCTCTCAAAGAGCCCAGCCTCCTTCCCATCACAGCACTGACCAATGCTGTGGGGACGTCCGCCTTCCACCTGGCTGAGAACCCAGCTGGGGCTGGCGCTGGCAGTGGCACTGGGCAGCCTGTCTCCCTGACTCCGGGCTTCCCTCCCTCCCTCGCAGATGGGCCTCATACCTCATTGGAAGAGGCCCTGCCTCAGACACCAGGGAAGTCACCTCACCTAGGAAGAGCCAGGACCTGCAGGGCCCTAGGCCCCAACATCCTTGTCCTCAAACAGTCCACAGCCTGACTCAGAATGCTCTCTGGCCCAGCCTGGAAAGCCCTGCCAGATCAGTATACTGGGAGCCTAAGCGGGTCTGGCAGGGCCCAGGAAGTACAAAGGGAGGTGCTGGAGAACCAGGCTGCCTTCTGCCTAAGGCACCTGAATGTGCTCACTGGCTGGAGAGAGGAATGGGAGGCATGGTTCAGCATACTGGGCCTGTCTAGGGAGACCCCAGGACCCTGACAGCCCAGAAACCCAGTAGGCCAGAGCCAGATCCCAAAACAGTCACGGCTCAGAGCCTGTGGCTGCAGAACCCTCCCCTTCCTTCATTTCCGTCCTGCCCCACAAACATGTTCCAGCTGGCCCAGGCCTTGCTGGGAAAGTTCCTGGTGGAACAGAAGGCTGAAGGTAGCTCGGGGCTCTTATGGCACCCTGGACTGCCCCAGCTCAGCTGACTGCAGCTGGACAGCCCTGACTCTGCCCACCTCCCCAAGGGCTTCTCCAAGAGGGCAGACATGAGAGGCTGCACCCAGCCTTGGAAGGTGGCTCCTCCAAAGTCTCCCAGGCTGCCCCTAGGCCTCAGGGCACTGGTGGGTGGTGGCAGGGCAGGGGCGTGTGGGCTCCTGTATCTGCATTTCTTTGTCACTCAGCCTCTCTCTGGGACCTGATACACAGCAACCTTGGTTCTCACCTCCTTGGCCCAGAGGAACTGGGTGCTACAACCTGCCAGGGTGTGCCTGGCGGGTGGCTGATAAGAGGACAAGGGCTCAAACAGAAAAGTAGTCATTTGATCACTTCCTGGACCCAGCAGGGCCCTCTCATGGCTTAAAAAGTACTTCTCCAGGAAGCAGCCTGTCACATGTCTGCACTCCTCTGGTACTCCACACCAAGGACTGCCTACCCCATGAGTCACCCCAGGCGGCCCTTTACCCCACACTGCCTTCGGCTTATGCCAAGTATGGCTGGATCACTTCCTTCTCACCTCCAGTCTGTGCCTTGCCAGGCTAAGCAAGCAGCCACCTGAGGCAGGGAGGAAGACGGGCACCCAAGACTGCCAGGCTCCAAGCGGGGAATGAAGGCACAGCCTCCCAACTTGGGAAGTCTGGGTAGAGGAGTGAGAAAGCACCGGGCCCTCTGCTGCTCGCATCCCACTCTCAGAAGGGTGCTTGGAGGTACCGACCAACACACAAGCCGGCTCACTGTACATTCTTTTTCTCCTTTCAGCTGCACATAACTCTGCCAGGAGCATTCGCTTACCCACTTTACAGAAAGGTAAGATGGGGTCGGGGAGGAAAAATTACTTCATGTGCCGGAGGTTCCCTGCTAGGATATAACCCAGGTGCGGGCCCTGCCCACCACTCCACAGGTGTGGAGTCAGGGGTCTGGTGCCACTGTAGGAAGGGCCTCTGCTATCCACTAGTCCCTGGGTTAGGTCCCTCCCTGCTTGCCAGGGATAGGAGGGATAGAAGGTGGCCCAACTGCATGGCCTCTCCCAGTGTCATGACTGCTTCCCCCTCTGGCCTTCTGTGGTCCTTAGAAACAAGAGCCTGATCCCCTTGGCAAGGTGATAACAAGAAGAGCTAGCTGAGTGTGGTGACACATGCCTGTAATCCCAGCACTCGGGAGGCTGAGGCGGGAGGATTGCCATGAGTTCGTGAACTGCACAGTGAGATCCTGTCTCACAAAATTAAAAATCAAACCAAGGAGAGCAAAAGGCCTTCAGCTAGAGGCCTCCACCCCTGCAGATTACCTCCAAAGTCCTGGTCTGAACTAGTTCTCACAAAAACTCTGCCAAGAACACAGTGTGGTTATGCCTCAGAGAAGCAACACCACACACATGCCACTTCTCACCAGGGCAGAGCCAGCACCCCTGGGCCAGGCACCATGGTACTGTCACATGCTTCACCTCACAGAATCTTCAACAGCCCAAGAGATAGATGCTAACCTCACCCTGCATTAAGCAGAGGAAGCGAGACCCAGGGTCCCATCTTTCTCCTGGTGTTGCTGCCACACTTGGGTCTATTTCCTTATATGAAAAAGGAAAACAGACTCTTGCCTCAGGTGGAGACTGTGATACTGAAATACACTAAAAGACAAGACTGTCAGGGGGAGGCACTTCCCAGGCCTCTGGGTCTGTGATGGGGGGGTGCCCTCTAAAGACCCTAAGACTCAGTTCTAGCCCAGGTCTTGGTACTCAGGGCTGCTGGCCAGGGGTCCACCTGCTTCTTCCACTTCCAGCTGGGCAGCTCCACCCTAGGACCTACGTCTCTCAGGCAGGCCTCCAAGCACATGCCATCCTTCTGCCAAGAAGTTCCCTTCCCTGGGTCCCATCCAGTTCTCATCAGCGCCCTTTCTTCCATGAAGTCTTCTCAGACTCCCTGGCCAGACAGTGCCATTCACCAGGCTGTGCTGGGAAAGTATGCCACAGACTTGTCCTCTGCCAGGCAAGGAGTGCTCCTCGTGAGGAAGGCTGGGCCTGGCTCAGCTCTAAAATTCAGAGCCTCAGACTTCCTAGATGAAAACCTTAATACCCACCAGCCCAGGTCAGGGTGGAAAGGAAGACAGCTGGGATGAGGACAGACTTCCTTGGGCCCACAAACCCTCATGACATGGCTAACGCCTGGGCGAAGGGACAAAGAAGATCCACTGGTGGGTCCATTGGGATGGCTGCGTGTTTAAGGCAAATTCCTAAGAGCAGCACCACAATATTCACTCTAGAATATTTGTGAAAGAGAGGATCCCAGGGGCTCATCCTATCGTCTGCAGCAGTACCCTGCCCCCCAGCCCTCTTTAGGCTCTCCTAAAGTGTGGCGGACTCTCTAGCCCCATGACAGCCCTATAGGAACTACAGCCCTGTGCCTCCTGCCCTTCCATCCCCAAGCTGGGTTTACTATATTGGAGGCCCTTTCCACAGCTCCATGGCAGGGAACTCTTAAACCTCCCAGGAATGAGGCGGCAGGAGGTGGCACCAGGAAACCCAGGTCACTCATGGGCCAGCCACAGGGCAACAGTCCCTGGTCAGGGACTGCAGGGAAGGGTGTTCCATGGCGCCACCCCCGCCCGCCCCGCCATCAACAGCTTAGCAGCATCTGTCCCTGGACAGACCCCTCTACTTGACATGGCCTTGCTCCCCTTTCTCCTCTCTCCCTTCACAGGCTTCAAGACAATCAATTCCCAGTGGCCTCAAGCCAGTGTCAAAACCCTCCTGAAAGACCCCTCACACTACACTCTGGTTAGTGAATAACCATGGGCTGCCCTCAGGAGTCTTGGCCCAGACTCTTCTTCAGCTGGTCTCACCCTTCTCTCCATCTCTTTGTTTTCATGGCCCAGCCCACCACCACCACCACAGTGCTGCCTCTGGTCTTTCCAGATAGCCCAAACCATATCACTTGAGCTCCCCAGTCTCCTGCCAGTCTCCTCACTTAATTCTCACGACTATCAGAGCTGAAGCACCGTGCCTCAGAAAAGGGAAGTAACTTGGCAGAGATGACACTACTGTGATCAGTAAGAGGCTGAGTGGGATCTGACCTCAGCTCAGGAGAGTGCAAGTCTGACTCCATCAGCCTGTGCCACGGCCTCTGCCCATGCCCCATTTCACGGGGGACCATGGGCAGCGGAGCAAAGAAAGGCCAACAGCCAGACTGACTGCTCACTATGACCAGCTCATTTAGGGTGGGGAAGGAGCCACTCCCAGGGCCCAGGAAACGTGGGCACAGGCACAAGTGGGCCACTATTAGAAACAGAGCTGGCCCAACAGCAGTTCATTGTGAAGCCAGGCAGCAGCAACAAGAGGACATTGTCCCAGCTCTTGGGGCACAGCCTTATCAGATAGCCTTCCAGCCAACCCACAAGCTGTTTTTCTACTCAGATCCTTTTTCCCTTAAAAGGTTAATGACACAGAAGTTTGAAAAACTCATGTTTTCAAGGAGGGAGGGGTCCCAAAAATAAAAACAAAACTTGAGATAACTGAAAAGCTCTACTTGACACAGTTAAGGATGCTTACAGCTATGGGTGGGTAGGAGAGTGAGGTTGTTTAGCCTAGATAGTGAGGGGCTCAGCGTTACCCTCTAAATCTTAAAAGGTCAGAGGAAGCTGCCCTGTGAGATCCCAAGGCGGGACTGGGACCAAGAAGGGCCAATGCCAGCTCAGCACCAGCTATCTACAAATGGCCAGGCTCATTTGGTTTTCGACAGTGGGCACATTGTGGCTGAAAGTACACCAGCAGGAGCTGGAGACCCCTTCCAAGACCCACAGCAGAGGCTCACTATCGAAGTGCTGGGACAACATGGCAGGCAGCACACGCAGACAGGAAGTGGAAGGAGCCCTAGAGTAAACACACCCATATACATGTGTGAATGCACGCTACAGAAAAGCCATCAGCAGCTAGAAACAAGCAGGAGGCCAGAAGGGTTAGGATCCTGGGTATCCAGTTAGGAACCAACCTTCTCTGTTCCTCATACAGCATACAACCTGAGGGCCTTAAGTGTTCAACTCTCGAGGTCTGTTTCCTACCCTCAAGCAAGGATAACATCTCCCCACTGTTGCTCCAAGGATCAAGTGAAACACTGCAGGGGCATGTCCAGGAAGGCCACAGTCTGTGCTAGCAACTACGATCAGTCACCTATGACTGTCCCAGCCTCCTTCACCCATCCGTGGCCAGGATGGGAGCTGGGACATAGCTGTGAACAACATCGATGAGTGATAGAGATGCTGCTTATCAATGCTGACCTTTCTACGATAGGTTAGACTTTCTGACATGGGAATGAGGGATTTCTCAGGCTGTGCACTGTTCTTTCCTGACCGCTCAAATTTCTTACTTTCTCCATCTATAAAATGGGGGCCTACTGTATCTGCCCAAATGCCCACATGACAGTTAATCTTGGTTGTCAACTTGATTGAATTGAGAAACTCTTACAAAATTCATAATGCACACTTCTGGCTGTGTTTGTGAGGGTCTTTCCAGAGATGAATGACATGTGGGATAAAAAACTGAGGGAAGGGCCGGGGATTTAGCTCAGTAGTTCTGGCACCTGCCTTGCAAGCTCAAGGTCCTGAGTTCGATCCCGCGTACCAAAAAAACCCCACAAAAAACCTGAGGGAAGAGAGCTGCCCTAAATATGGGTTGCACCTCAATAGGGTGGGAACCAGATAGAACAATAAAGGGAGGAAGGTGCCAGCATATGCTGTTACTCTCTGCTTCCCAAATGCCTTGAAGTGAGCATGCTCTTTGTCCCATCAGGCTCTTCTGCCATGACATTCCTGCTTTGGAGCCAGCTGACCATGGACTAAAACTGCTGAAACTGTGAGCAAAACAAACCTTCTCTCCTTAAAGTTGCTTTTCTCAGATATTTTGTCACAGCAACAAAAAGCTAACTAACACACCCAGGGTGCCTCAAATTTTAAAAACCCTTAAATTCTCTTACTGAAATTAAGCAGAAAGACGGTATGGCTGGGGGTGGCCCCTCTGCCTGTGAATCCTCGGTCAGTGGTCCCTGATCCCAAGGCTTAGGTGGTCACATGCCACTGGCTGTTATAATAACCAGGCTTGGAACAGGGTATGACTATAAGGTGTGTCTCCACTGTCATGCCATCCCAAGGCTGGCAGGTCCTGCTGATTCTGGTATCAAACCCCAGCAAATTCTCTAGGCCCTTTCAGGCCCAAGCATGCTTGCTACACCTTTGCCCGTAGAGCAGGCAGGCCCAGACAGCGGTGCTGGAGCTCTCTGCCCACTGTGGAGGTGACCCCATCTGGACATGGTTCCGAAGCATGTCAGGACAAGGGTGGTGACCTTCTGGGAATCAAGCGGCAGGACATAAACAGAAGCATGTCCCACAGGACCATCCAGCAGAGCCATCTCTTCCTAGCCCAGCCTTGCCCTGCTGGCCTGGGAATCGGCTGCTGAGAAGCTGAGAGCTCACTCCTGGCTCAGCTGGGATCCCAGGAGAGGAGAAGAATGCAGCTGCCTGGTTGCCCCAGGGGAGACAGAGCCTGTCCTAAAAAGGCAAGGAGGCTGGCCACTCAGCCTGAGAAGGTTTCCTGGGATGACAGGACCCAGAGGCATGGTCCTTCTCAGCTCTGGCTTTCCTCAGGCCAAGGCCAGGGACAGCTCATAGGAGAAGCATGAGAAATCAGTGTGGTAGTCCCCATGCACATGATGAGCTTTGGCCTTCTGCTACCCCAACCCCTGGGCTCCCTACACCACAAAGCTAAGCTGGCAAAGAGGGTCCACACCCTGGCAACCAAAACAGGACTGGGGGCTCACTGCCTGTTATGGCTTAGCGTAGCCCCAGGCCTGTTACCAGTAGTGCCTGATAGATACCGACTAAATGAGTGACAGGGCGGCAGCTTGGACCTAACAACCGCTGTGGAGTCTGCACACCTACCATGTGCCCAACGGCAGGGCAGGTGTCGCTATCCAAGCACAGGTGTCATCTCAGCCCTCTCCCAATAACCCTGCACCCAAGGCGGCACTGCCTCAGGGAGAGAACAGGAACTCAAACCCAGGGCTGATGAGCCCTGCCACACACCCTCAGTGAATCCAAAAGATTTAATGAAGGGAGCTTTAGTACAGGTCTACTTTGCTGAGGAGGAAACTGAGGCTTAGAGAGTAGGAGTGGCTTCTTAGGTTATACAGTCCAGAGTGAAAAGCTGAGATCCTGGCAGCCTGATCACCCTGTTAGGCTGCATGGCCCCTACTTCACAGAAGGCCAGGCTCCACCCCTGATCCGTTTGTGACCTTGGCCCTCTTCCTCTTGCCCTTGGGCCCACAGACCCTGAACAAATTCCCTTCTCTCTTTTGGGTGTGGTCTCCACAGGCTGTGCTACTTTAGAGAACCACTGAAGCCTCGTGTCAACATGTACATAAGGGGCCACCACTACTTCTATATCACTACCTGCAGTAGCCCAACAGTGACACCTCACTGCTGCCTACATCTCACTTGGTTCACAGGCCTGGTCCGGTCAGAACAGGCAGCCTTCAGCACCCTGGCCAGACCCCACCCACTTTCCAGTAAAACTGTGGAGTCTGCAAAAAGACATTTGGGATCACATTTACCTTTTCACATCTCATTTCCTTTTTGAGGAGGGGGGTGCAGAGACAGAAGAAACAAAAAACTTTCCATCTAATCCCCCAAGTCATCCTGCAGCCTGAATAATTTCGGGTTTTTAATCAATAGCTGTCAGACTTGTCAAATTACTTTGGGGACCGCAAAGCAGTTTTTAAACATTCATAAACCTCAGTAGAACAGCGAAGTGCCCTGAATTTTAAAAGGACAGAATATAAGGAACCTCACTGAATAGGGTGGGATTTGGGGGAATCAAAAGTGAGCTGTAGGCCAACTGCCCCTCCTGCATACAGCTCTTGGTCTCTTCCTGGTCCCCAAGAGGAACTACCAGGCTTGGCTGGCTGCTCAGAAAGTTCAGGGAGAGAGGTACCTCCCAGGCCCTATGGCAATCTCCCCAAGGAAAGCCCCTACCTCCTCAGCCCCGGCAAATGAGCCCAACTTCCTCACATAGCACTCAGGACTCTGGCTCCAACTGCATCTGCAGTGACCCTGAGACTGTCAATCTGGCGCACTCAGACTCCTGTACCCATTGCGCGTGTGCTGCCACTCCACACCCTTCTGCTGGCTCTCTCTACTTGGACCCTCTTAAGATGTTTCCAAGCCCTGGCAGAGGTGTTCCCTTCCCCTTGTGCTCAATCCAGTCCGATCCCCCGAACATATCCAGGCACAGCTCCTCCTTGGTCTGATGGATCACACCACTGAATGTGGGGCTGGTTTCTGAGTGGTTTCCCCACCCCACCCCTGGGCAGGACTGTAAATACTTCTTACAGCAGCCTCAGAGCCATGGAGACACAGGACCCAAGGAGGGAATGATGAAATAAACACAAGAAATTAGCTGAAAACCAAGGACTCCTGTTCCCCAGGAGTGGCTCCCTCTCTCCTCTCACTTATCTAATTCCTCACAGCTTTCCCCTCCAGGAAGCCCTCCTTGGTTTATGCTGGTCCCCTCCACAGAATGGTGGGACATAGGCAGCAGCATCCTCTCCAGTCTCATCTCCTCCATCTACAACACAGGTGCCATCCAAGTGACCTCCTGGAATGGTGCAGACTGTTCAAGATAGGTGACAGGGTGACCTTAGCATTGTCTCCTTTCCCTAGCCCTGGGGACCAAGCTTCTGCTTCAACAAAAAACCAGCCACTTATCAACCTGCTCCTGGCACTATGCTGGCTGATGACTGGTTGAAGGGAGAGAGGACTCCTTTAAAAATATGTACAAAAGCCAGACATTGTGGGGCACAGCTGTAATCCCAGCTACTCAAGAGGATGAAGCAGGAGATCGAAAGTCCAAGGCCAGCCTGGGCAACTTAGTGAATCCTTTTTCAAAATGAAATAAAATGTTAAAAAGCTCTGTAACCTTGGTCCAGTCATTAACCCATGTCTTAGTTTTCTCAACTGTAAAACAAGGATGCCACCTTCAGCCCCACTGCTGCTGTAGGGGTCACCTGACATGCACTGAGGTCTCTATACAGGGTCCCTGGGATGAGGGCTTCTATGCCCTCTGCTCAGGTGGTGCTGAGACTGTCTCATCCTGGGTATTCTGTGCCCTCCCCCAGTACTTCTCCGATGCTCCTGGTTTATCCCTGGCCCACTGACATTTCCAAGACGCCCCTCCCACTCTAACATTCAGCAGGTCCTTCCTACCTGTCCCCACAGCTGGAAGATCTCTCAAGAAGCTTCTCTACCAAGTGATCACTGGCAACCTCACCTGCTCCATCCCTAACTTGAACAGGCTCAAGAGTGCAGGCCATTTTGGGGAGGTACCTCAAAAACCCCTATTTAAGGAGGGATGCACCTGAGAATAACTGACAATCAAAACTATCCCCAGTGCTCATCTCAGGCTGGTCCCTCTTCAATTCTAACTACATTGCAATGCGATGGAGGGGCTTTGTGGCCATACAGGGTCCCCTCTTTGTCAGCAGCCTGATCTCAGGCAGAAAGAAGAGGCAAAGCTATGAAGGGGAAGAAAAGCTGAGCCAAAGGAGCACGGGCCTCCTTTCTCCTGGACCTTGGCTCCCACATCTGTCACATGGGCTGTCCTACTATAGAGCCTGCTGAAGTCTTACGCTAAAGCGCCACCCCCTCCTGGGCTAATCCACTGCTCAGTATATGGTATCTCAGCCCCAGCACTGAGGCTGGGGCTTTGGCCTGGGGCCAGCTCTATGTTGCTCTCAAAGCAGGGGGAATGGGAATCTCAGCAGCCAACAGAGCCACTGCTTCTCAGACTGTAACCCAGAGTGTTCAACAGCATCAGAACAGGAGGCAAGGGTGGCTGCTCATAAGCCATAGGCTCCTAGACCACTGGCAAGGGAAGAAACTCAGAGAGACCATGTTGAAGAAGACCTAAGGGGGCCGCAAACACCTATGTACTCACCACACATGGATGCTGGCCCACACTTTAGTGCACATGCCAGGTACTGGCTCCACATTTTGCAGCTCCCACACCTCTGATCCTCATGCAGCTAAGCTACATTTAAGGGAACTGAGGCTCAGAGACCTCCAGGGGCTTCCCCAAGGGCAGACAGTGTGCAGCATTCAGAGTCCCCTCTTACTTCCCACAATCCACACAGACTGACTCCAGAGAAGCCGGCACTGTCTGTCACTAGCCACCTGGCCCAAGGGATTCCAGCTGCAAGTCATGCACTTCAAATACAGCTTCCCAGATATGATCCAAGCCAGTCATGCCATCCCCCCTCAGGGCACCCAGCTCTGGTCACGTGGGGCTGCCCACTTTCGCTCAAGGTGAGACACTCCCAGCAGTTAAGGCCTCCTTCCCTGTCTGTGCCTGGCTCAAAGGCTACCACCTCTATGAGCCTCCCCAGCACAAATGACAACTGCCTCCAGCCCCCCACAAGGAAGTGCCACGCTGAGAAGGCAAGCAGTTGCTCAGCATCACAGTTCACAGGAATAGGGTGAGGCAGAAGGCCTGGCATCTGGGTTCCAACTCCAAACTCTTCTCACTGTCACTGATGTCACAGGTTTTCACCAAAGCTATAGAAATCACGTCATCAAATGTACCAATTTTTACGAGGCACCTGTGACAAATGACGCCTCACTTTCACCAGAACTGCACTGAGTTCTGCCTTTGTCACCCCTAGTGACTCTGTGTGTAAAATGGTGAGAAGGGCATCAAGCTAGTGGCCAGCCTTACCAATCTGGGCATGGTAGTGAATGAGGGTGACTAGGACCAACAGGCCCTGAGTCTAGGCTGAGATAAGCCCCTCCTCTGGGTTCTCCAGAAATGGGGTGCTTCCCTGTGAAGACTCACGGCAGGCACCTGGCTTCTGACCTGGCTTTGGGTCCCAAAGTAACTTGGCCTCTGACAGCTGTTCCAAGTGGTTAAGTTGGAGCCCAACCGCACTCCAGGCTCTGACACAATCTTCTCAGTCTTCGGCCCACCTCTACCCCACCCAAAGGGCCGACGGAAGAAGGAGCAGGGCATAGAAAGAGAGAAGATAAGAGACAGAAAGTCCCGCTGGGGGGCTGCAGCAGAGATGACAGTGCCCCCAAACCCCAGTGCAGCCCCACCAGCCCAGCCCAGGCTGAAGGACTCAGAGCAAAGGCCAAGCTCCTCAGCTCCGAAAACTGAGTTGGTGCCTGGTGGTCACCAGTTCTCAATGGAGCGTTCCCAGGGCCCCGCCCGCGGAAAGCAGCACAGGCACTGGGTCCCCTCCCCCTCATCTGCAACTGTCCGTGGTGGCCGTGTGGGACAGGCCTATCCTAACCGTTCCAGGTTCTGGACAGGCAGTGGGTGCCTGGACAGGGGGGCAGGCACCATCACTGGGCCATCCACAGTCCCTCCCCACACTGGACAACTGTGACAACTATGCTTCCTGTCTCATGCCTGCTCTTCCCAGCTCATTCAGGTCTCCCTGGGCCCAAGAGGCTGCTCATCGGCCTCATTCCCACCAGCCTCCCTCCTGGACTCCCTCCCTCATCTCAGCCTCCACTCAGGCTACTCACCATCCCTCAGCCCAGCCCCAGGCTCCCCAGGCTGGGAATGCTGAGTGGCCAGGCCAGTCCCAGCCAGTCCAAGCCTGCTCTGGCCCCGGACACACCACTCCAGCCCTGTCCGCTGGGACTAATCATGGCTAGTTAAACAAAGGCCAAGTTCCAACTCTCTGTAATGTGTCTTTAAAGGGCCAGTGTCCTGCTTGGGTCTGCTGGGAACTTAAAGGTACAGACACTTTTTCCTATACAGGAAGTGAGGGGGAAAAAAATCCCAACAACAAACCACAAAAGTCACTACCAGATTAGAGGTCTTGGGTTTCTAAGAGACTGCAGGCAAAATGAACATCAGTAAAATTCCAAATTTCACCTCAAAGTCCTGAAGAACCCCAAAACAAAAGCAACAAGAACAGGAATAGGAATGAACAGGCAACCACAGCACTTAAAACTTCACAGCACTGTCTCCTTTATTCCTCACCACTGTCCAAGGCAGGCAGTGCATCACCATCTTCCATATGAGGAGGTGGAGGCTGGCAGTGGAGCTGGGACCCAGCCAGAGCTGGACTTGTCCTCCCTCCCACCTGATTCCTGAGACCGGCTCTCCCCACCCAACACCCACCTGCTGCACATCCTCCAGGGTTTTCCCTCCTACAGCGAATACACAAATACGCCGGTGAGAATGCGGCACTGTTTGCCAGACACCCAAGCACAGGCCTTTTCAGGCTGGGTCCCCAGATCCTGTGAGGTCTGGTCTGTCACTTCTCCATCTCAGATAAGGAGAGTGGGAAGCACGAGTTCTAGCACAACATGAAGAGAGACATGAATGCAGGAGAAGGTGGAGGCAGAGGAGGAGGGAGGAGGAGGGAGGGAGGATGAGAGGGAGAGAGGCAGCTTTGCCAGCTGTGTGGTGGTATGGGCACTGTACACTCAGGTCCTCAATCCCTCCCTAACAGGTGCTGCAGGTGAGAGGAAACAAGGCTGGGCTGAGCAACTGGCCTTTAGAACCCAAGGCTCAGGCGAACCAAGCCTGTCCACAGGAATGGAGGGTGCAGTTCTCCCAGGGCCCTGAAGCTCCAAGGGAGGCAGGGCCTACACACCTTCCCTCTCCCTGCCTGCCCAGCTGCCAAAGCAGGTGTGGAAGGGGACAGGGAGAGGGAAGAGACTTGACTGCTCTTAGGCCTGGACTGAAAAGCCTACTAAGATGGGTCTGGCTGGAGTGGCTGGGCCCACAGAGGGTACGGTACAGCTAACCTCCACCAGAAAAACCAAGGCCAGGGGGAGGCCTCAGGCCCAACTCCATAGTGGCCAGGCCCATCGAGGATTTAGCATCCTCTCTGTGTTTCCATGGAACCTTGACATCCAATAAGCACGAGGCTGATAGTTAAGAATAGAGGCTCTACAGAAAGACTGTGTTCAACTCTGGGCTATGTAGTCTTAGTCAAGTCACCTTTCTGGACCTCCCTCAGTTTCCTCCTCTGTCAAATGGGCTACTTAACAGTACTTTTCTCCTAGAGTTCCTGGGAGGGTTCAGGACAAAGCCTGGCTCAGAGTGAGCACTTAGCAAATGCCAGCTTCCAGCCAGGCTGAAGGAGGCAGCTTAGTTTGTTCAAGGAGGCACAAAACAGGAAACCTGCTTGCAAGGTACTGACCCTGTGTGAGTCACTTTTCTTTCTGGGAAAGGACCTTCAGTGACTCCCAGGAAGAACTACCTTCTGAAATCCACCCTTCCCTAGAAGACAGTAAAGCTGAGAACAGCTGGGCTGTGGCCAGTTCCTCTGAAGCTACAAGCAGCTTGTCCTGGCTGTCCAGCCAGCTGAGTCTGCTGAATGGGAGTGGGAGCGGGAGCAAGAGGTAGGAGCCTCTAGAACACCATGGGCTGCCAGGAAGGAAGCAGCACAAGGCTTCATGTCTCCAGGAGGAGCCCTGCCCCTGACTCTTTGGGTCACATCTCCCCACTCCTCAGGTGTCTTCCATGGCATGTGGCCCAGCTCAGCTGGCTTTGCCCAAGGGAAGCGCTGTTATCAGCCACACAAGCCACCCACAGCTGCTACGCCAACAATCTCCTGAAGCTGGGGGCTCCTTCTGCCATAGGTACTCGAAAGCATGAAAAACTCCAAGGTCGGTCTCATGATTTCTTATTGGAGCCTGATGTATCTAATGTGTATGTGGGAAAGGGGTGTCAAGCACCAGAGGAACAGGTGGTCAGGGGCAGGAGCAATGCCAGTAGTCCTGACAGAGCACATGGCTGTAACTCCTCACATGCAGTGGGAGATTCAGGTGCCTTAGATCTACCACTGCCCACCCATGGGCTTATCAATATGGGGAGGCCTGG